GTGTTATGAACACTCTTCGAAATGTATTTATGAATATAGTTTTATGATTTTGGAAAAGCCAAATTCAAATAAATATAGTAATTTTAATATAAATTTTTTGTCACGTCCCGTATTAGTTGTTTTAGCAAAACAAAGCAATTTTATATATGTCGTTTTATGCTTTCAATGAGACAAGAGTGATTATTTCTATTACGAATTGAGTCATGGTTGTTTATAGTGTTTTACATGAGAAATCTAATTACTGTCCGTTGCACTTTTGAATAATAGCACTAAATTCAATATGAAATTAGCATTGAATCCATCTAAGAATTACCTTCCTTCATCTTAATAATACTATTTTTTTCCGAATCCATACTATCAACTAACAACAACTATACATCTCAGGTGGGCAATCCTCCAACCGACAGCCCTCCTCAATCTTCTTCAGAAATTTCAATTTAGCCAAAAAAATCAACACATGCATTAGAATCTCTAGGTATGTGCTGAAAAATAATCTCATCAAACTAATTTGAGAGGAACACAATACGCCGCGCTATGGAACAATCAAGATTAACATCATAACCATTCCCAACAAGAGATTCTACAACCCTTTTGTTATCCACTTGAGCAATAAGCTTGTTAAAGTTATATTGCTGGGCAAAATTCAAGCCGCTAAACACTCCTCAATACTCCGCTCATAAACTATTGTAATTACCAAGGTATTGATGAAAACTACCAAGCCAATGACCAAGGTGATTATGGAATAACCCTTCACAATGAGTAACACCAGAATCTGAACTCGAACCATTCGAGTTAAGACAAATCCACCCAAGAGAGGGAGATTGCCACTTGCACGAACTCATCTTTAGGCTCACATAGTTATGCCTACTAGCAAGGCTTTTATTCACTTTGTAGAGCATAACTTGCTTACTAATGATCTGCTCCATATTAAAAGGATGGATAAAATTTGGATCGTGCATAAACTTATTCCGCCATGACCATATAAAGTGGCATCTCGTGGCCCAAATCTCAACCCACTCAGCCGAGGAATGATGGAGCTTTTGCGTAAGGTTCAGAACCAACCAGTCGAAAAAGGATCTAGAGAAGAAGAAAGTTATGTGTTTGTTGTTTATTAATTGGGGCCAGGCTTTCTTAGGAGTGAAACAATCCCGAATATCATGAAGAACGATACCCGGTTGCTCGCCATAAATGTCACAAACATTGTTCTTCATACTTAACTTGTGAAGATAATAGTTGGTAATAATGCCATTGTGAAAAGCTTTCCAGATAAAGAAATACACTCAAGAACTTGGAGATTCCAAATAGTCTTCCATAAGTTGGAAGAATCCGCTTCAGAGAAATTGTTGAGGATGCAGTACATGATATATATGGAAAATTGACCCGATTTAAACCCACTTCGAATGAAAATAATCTTTAGAAATAATCATCTTAATAGGAGGAGGAATGACATGAATTTTATCTAACAATGTCGGAGACAAAAGACTTCTCAGCACCTCCCAATTCCAGCAACCATCATTGTTGACGAAATCTGTCACTTTAGCAGCAGACATGCTAGAACTGATGTGAGGATTCACATGATCTTTTAGATCTAGTCCCGACACGACCCAAGCATCCTCCTACACTTTGCACTACTATAAAATACACATTCGGTAACATAATATTACCGCGATCATTCCTTCCACCGTTGTAAAAACAACAATTGCAACAGTAATGAAAAATAACTATAACAATAATTAATACCCCTCTAACAATTGGGTTCATAAATAAATAAAATAATTGCGAGAGATTTAACCTCGATTTTACTAAAGAACCGTTGTAAAAGTGATGTATTATATCACGGTTTTTCTTTCTAACCGTGATGAAATGTGATCTTTTTTGTACTATATAAGCGAAAATATCTTTCGTTAAGTACATAACAATTGTTTATATAAAATGAAAATCCTAACATATTTCACTCTTTTCACTCATAACATAACCCTAACATCCATGTCACTCTTTAAGCTTTCTTAAACCTTCAGATTCGTCTTCACCAATCGCTATGATACTCTTTAATCATATTTCAGGTTCGTTCATTAAACTTATGCTTCGATTTTATTTATATTTCTTATTAAAAATGAGTTCTCACTTTTTTATTTGGTGAATGTTATCATTTTTTCACATTCGTCTTCACCGCCTTAATAAAGTGTACACTTTGGCTATGATACATATGATTTGTGTAGCTATGAAGAGGAATACAAGAAGTATGAAGCTATTGTGTTAACTTCATTCACCTTGGACTTCTTCTTCATAGTTTCATAAACTATATGAAAATCATAATTTGTTCCATATCCACGATTAGTTTAAAAAAAAGGTGTGTTCTTTAAACATTATATAATATCTTATGTTGCTATATACTGTTGTATGTTGTCGTTGTTGTTGTTGTTGTATGTTGGTATTGTTGTTCTTGAACCTTATTTTGTTGTATGTTGTTGTGTTGTTGATAAATATTGTTGTATGTTGTTGTTGTTGATTAATATTTTAAGAATTTAAAGAACAAAACATTACTAAGTTACAAGAAAGAAGCTTCTTGTGACTTGACAATGTTTTGTTCTTTAAATTCTCAAAATATTACATAATATCTTGTGTTGTTGTATGTTGTTGTATGAAGTTGAATTTATTATATACTATGTAGATTGTTTGTTTCACTAACCCTTCACTGAAAATACATTTTATTTAAATTGATATAGAAACTTATAATCTGAAAATTAAGTTGTATTTGAAAGTCAACTTATATCAATCAATGTTTTTTAAATTGCACCTGTCTCATCATTCATCTCACTATGTTTAACATATAGAATGTGGGTCAATGATTTGATTCCTTCAACACATTCATATCTTCTCTTATAATATAATTTGAATAACAACAATTTATTGATATTATTCAAATTAAACTAGAATATAAGGAATTGATGTGATGAAGGACTTAGACCAGTGAACTGCATTCTTTATGTTAAACAACGTGAGATGAACGATGAGATGGATGCAATTCGGAAAACAGTGGCTTGTTTAAGTTGCCTTTCAAGAATAATTTAATTTTTAGATTATATACTTCTTCATCAATTTCAATGGTTGTATTTTGTTGTGTGGTTTATTGAAAAACAAGCAATCTACATATTATATAGTAAATCCTAGGTACTTTCAACAACGGTTATTTATAATAACTGTTATACGATGTTGTTTGCCTAAAGGTATATACCACCACAGTTAGTTATAGAAATCGTGATCATATATAACACGCATTCAGGTTTTCTACAACGGTCGTAAGACCGTGATTATATGTTGCGCATATGCAACCACACCTACGTAACAACAGCATGTCACACGTGATGTTATCCCTTTTCCCACCGTTGTTGTATATGTTTTCTATAGTAGTGTCAATAGACCTCCCAATATTTAATGATAATCATTAATGGTGGAACAATTTGTTAAAGAAAATGTCAAAATTTTAATATGGGAATGAATTTGAAAAAATTATTGATTCTTTTGGCGTTCTCACGAAATCTATTTATATAGTGTGTACGCCGATAATTGTCAACAACAGTTATATCTCCAGAATTAAACACGTGCATATCCTGCTACGTGGGCTTTGGTCTTCATATGTGTTTTCATGTGTCTTTGATTTTTTAACCGCACCAAATTGTTACTGCTATCAAAACATCTTCAAATTATCTAATCATATTTCGACTCTACTTATCAAATTTGTTGAAAAATTCTACTTATCAAATTTGTGAAAAAGTTCACTGTTTTCAGAGTTAGCTATCCGCACTTAATATTTATATTCACCACCTATCTCACATTCTTGTAGAAAAGTTTAAGGCAAAAATCTCAAGCTAATACATAGTAATTTAAAACCTGGCGGGTATTGGTTCTCTATGTAATATAGGACTCAAATATTACATCTCTCTTTGTAATGAGGTGGTACCTTGTACTCCCTGTAATTTAATTTTGCGTATAAAAAAATCTTAAATTTTCACATATTTCAATTTAGAGAATCACTTTTGGTAACACTCTTAATTGTTGTCTCCTTTTTTATCTTAATTGGTAGCGAATTTTTTTCTCTTAATTAAAAAAATCCTAAAATATATAAACTCTAATTTTAAAATTCAAGTTTTATGATTTTTCGAGTTAGACTGGCGGGTTTATATAGGCTAGCCCATTATAATACAATTATTGTTTATTTTACAATTAAATAACACATTATAAATTAACACGTATATCTAAAAATATTTTATATTGTATTAAATTGTATATCACTCAATAATGGTGCACACTACTAATTTTTTATTTCACATGTCACTATCAAGATAATATCTATTTTATTTTAACCAATAATTATCTATCTATTTTATTTTAACCAATAATTGCTTTTAATTAAGACATGAATTTTTTTATTTTTAAATGTGAAAAAAAATTTTAATTTTAATTTTATTTTAAATTTATACATATAGACATATTTTATATCGTATTAAATAAATTTTATTATATCTTACTAAATATTTTATAGAGTTAAGTATAAACTACTCCTTTAATAGGTGTCACGTTTTTCATAGAATAACCAAGGATTTTTCTTTAACTTCTAAAATAATGCAAAAAAATAACTTTTCACTAATAAAATACCATAAAACAATTTCACATTAAAACGTGACAAGATGTTTCTTTAAGTGATTAAATCATTAAAAAAAATTAATTGATACAAATATTGAAAATTATTTGAGAATTTATATTTTAGTGTTTGACTTTAATTTTAAATTCGCTACAAAAAAAAACTATAGATTTTATTAAGTTAAAGATTGTATCACTTGTATTAAAATATTAGAGAAACTGAATAATCACTTGTATTAAAATATTAGAGAAGCTGAATAATCACTTGACAAATAAATTCCTAATGAAGGTCAAAATATATAATTTAAGGATGGAATCAAGTAAAATTCATCGCCAACTCTTTTCTCATATAATACTTGCTAGATTGTAAGAATGAGTCCAGGAACAGAAGCATCAGAAAGCTTACTCTTCCAAATACATCTGCAACAACTTGAACCAACAACATCTTCTGGATAGAAACCAAGCTTAGTAACAGTTACCGATGTGTTCACATACTCTCTAACTTCGGTTATTATTCCGTCGCTAATGGACCATGCATGAACCCACCACATCATGTTTTTTTCATCATACCCTTCTGCAACAATCACTGAGCCAAAACCAATTATGAGATTAGGAACTAGAGATTTTTTAGATGATGATGAGCCTGTGAGGAGAGAGACTAAATAGTGACTATGGCGTGGAGGACCATGGAACCACCATTCCAAATCAGAAGCAAGAAGATGTTGCATTGATTTTGTGTCTTTGGAAACTAAGGCTTTGTATAAGTCTGTTACTAATTTCTTGTTGTGTTCATCTTTCTCTGTTATAGGCATTCTTTGTGTTTCAAGGAGTAATTTGTTGAGATGAATTAATGTATGGTGAGAATGAAAATGGAAATGAATGGTGGGAGTGGGAGTGTTCTTTTATATATATATATATATATATATATATATATATATATATATATATATATATATATATATATATATATATATATATATATATATATATATATATATATATATATATATATATATATATATATATATATATATATATATATATATATATATATATATATATATAGTTGGAGGTGACATGAGTTGGAGTGGGCATGTTTTTTTTCTTTCTCATTTTAAATGGAGAAAAATTAAGATTTCAATTACACACTAATTACATATTTTAGAAGATTTTCATGGAACAAGTGTGTACTTGTGAAATAAAATAGTGGAAGGGAGGTTGCTTGCGTGTGTGGTTGCAAGAGGCACTGTATGCTAGGTTCTACTAAAAATAAGTGAATGAATCTCCAAAGTCTGAAGTTGGAGTATTTATTGATAGTTTCTTGGTTTGAGCAATAAGGAGAGAAACGATTTTCCATAACTTTCGAATGAGTATATGGGAGTGATACTCCCTAATCTAAAACATCCTTAGTTACAATAATCATATAAAAGATCTTATGTATTAAGTCTTTGATTAATGAATTTTTTAGCATAATTTTCATATTTATATATTCTATTTTCAACAATAATAACTTATAAGTCAACTGACTTTTTAAAATCTATTATTGGAACACTATATAACTTTCTTATAGCACTATATAACTTGAGTGGTCTTGCAATACTAAATTGTAATTGAGTGACATAAATATTAACCTGTATTTTTTAGTATTAGGATGTCTCTTCGACATCTAAAACATCATAGTAGAACATACTAATTATCTTTTTATTGTCACATCTCTAATTTGTGAGCATATGATCTTTTGAGTAAATCAAAAGAAAGTATTGAATAACGTATTCACAAAGACCGGTGCGATCTTACTAACAATACATAATTGATATAGTTTTAAGTAGGGTTTGTAATATTGATTTGTTTTAAAGTAACAACAAATAAACTAGAAATTGTTGTGAAAATAAATTTAAATTGACAAAGATCTTGTTAGGATTGAAATTTCACCATCGTGCATGTATGCTTTCGGTCGATATCTCTTTTAAAGAAACTTGTTGTTCATATTATCTTCATTTGATTTGCTCACAACAGCATATATGTCTATATGTTTATTGAGAATTCAATTGGTTTAGTTCAACTGATGATTTCTCGATCGAGTAAACTAAACAATTGCATTAAGTACAGAATTTATGAAAGTTAAACTCTTTAGTTCTATGTCTAGAACGAAGCGTTTAACTGATAATAATCCTTAGCTTTAATACGAATGTATTTTTCAATCACAATTCGTACTCAATTGATTTTACAATGACAAACAAAGATTAAATCTATAATTGTGAATAACAAGATTCAATAAAAGAGGAAAGTAATGCTAATACATACGATTACGGTGGTCTCCTTTCAATCCAAACAAGAGAAGAGCTTTACCTATCCATTGTCATGGTAGCTTGTACAAAAAGGAAGAATTGGAGATGAATTTACATCAAGGATGATTTCTTGATTCTTGATGTGAATCCAACTCGATTCTCTTCACACTCTTCTTCTTAGTAACTTTCTATAACTATTACAATTGAAATTTAAAAACTGATAATCATTCAACCCTCTGCTGCAACCCTTTTATACTAGTTGAAATGGGGAACTTTCGATATGCGAAGTATTGTTCGGATAGCGAAGTCATCTTCCTTTGTTGCTAAGCATTTTCAAACTGCCCTTGGGAAACCGCCATACTTCGCTATGCGAAGTTTTGGTCGCATAGTGAAGTTCTCTTCGTTGCTACTTTGATTCAAGCGATCTGATAAGATTTGATTCTGTTTCATTTCTGTTCTTCTCGCTTTGGTTTCGTTATGCGCCCTTCACTATACGAAGTAAATTTCACTATGCGAACATCCTCTGCTTTGACTTACTTCAATCAAACTGGATAAGATTGCTTCTGCCTCTTTCTGTTTGAGTTCGCTTTGTCTCGCATAGCGACCTTCGCTATGCGAAATATCTTCGCTTCTCCTCGCTTCCTCCGCTTCAAGAGATCTTGGGACTTTTTTATTATGTTTTTGTTCGCTGCTGCTCGCTTAGTCTTACGTAGCGAGCTTCGCTATGAGAATTTTTTGATCTCTATGCGAAATATGCAGGGCATGAATTTCATTTTGTTTGCAATTGTTTTATTCTTTTGCCAAATCCTGCAATCTTACAAACATTTAAGCATAGTGTCTTTTGGATCATTTGTTAGTTAATTTATGCTCAAAAAATACAAGAAATTAAGGGATTCGTTCATGTTTTTCAACAAGGATACATCACTTATGGCCTTTCATCAAAATCTCCCCAACTTATTTTCTTGATTGTCCTCAATCAAGAGCATGATTAAAAACCGTTTTCACAAGCATTTGGCACAACTTTTTGAGATTCGAATGGTTCAAATGAGTATTTGTCGAGAAAGACACATGTTCATTTTGATTTGTAGAATCATAGCATGAGGATGGAATGATGTTCTCTCCCACATAATCACATCATATACTCGAATTTATAATGACGCACTTCCTTGAATTTTTTCTAACGTTTTTCTTCATACAAGAGAATGAAGATTTTTTCCTTGCTTAATTCTTTTGGGTGTGATGACTCTCATTTTGAATCACTTGGTTAACATCCGGGTCGATTCATGTTTTCATCCAAATAGCTTTGTAATTTGAGAATATGAAGGTATAATCACATAAGACTTTGTTAAGGTTGTAATGTGGCCAGGTTGTATAAGGAGATGGTTTTTCTCCTAAGGCTAGTTTTCAAAAATCTGTCCACTTAACTTTTACACGTTTATCATGCCTTTTTCCTTTCTTTTTTCTTTCCAATGACCTTTATGATGCCAAATCCTTTCTTTTTGTATCTTTATTTTTCTTTCTTTTTCATTTTGCTTTATGATTTCATCAATTTTTCTCCCCCAACTTATTTTGTTTCATGAGTGAATCTTTTCTTTAATATTTTATCTCTTCATAGTTTCAAGTTTTTGCAACAAAAGAATTTGGGATGGATCATATCTTCGATAAGTGATTTTTTGTCTTTTCAAAATTTTCGATCCATCCCTTTGGTTTTCAAAGGTTTGCACAAGCACTCACTCTCTCACTGGTTTTCGATGAGATTCCTTTTCTTTGGCTTTTTGGTAGTTTTTCTCAAATTCAAACAATTGCCTTGATCATATTTATACCTTTTCATAGCTCAAATGAAACTTTTAGATTGGTCATGAATCAACCGAGTCCAACACAAGGATTTTGATGTTTTATGTATACAATGGAAATTCACCTCACTTTTTGTGTTTTTGCTAATGATTCAAGCAAGTACGTACAATCTAAAATGAGACATGATATGAATTTGTATGAAAAAACGAAATCCAAGATCATGCTAACATTCTACAAAGCAAGTAAACATGTACCTTGATTGATTTTCGTCTTGGTTCTTATCATTACCGTCCATTCTCGTTTTTTATTATTCAACCATACTTGTTGATTTTGCTCATGATGCTACAAGTAGCATTCCATGCTCGTGATGAAGGAACAATATCAAAAGATACAAAAAAAACTTGAAACACAATTTTAACCATAACACTTAATACTTAAACATACTTTGTCCAAACGATACACAATGCAATAACATAACTTTGTCAAAATGACACAAAATACTTCAACAAAACACATAACTGAAATCACATAGTTTGCCACAATTGAAAATTTAAACTTGAAAAATGCATAATATCAAAACATAAGGAAATGAAAGTAAGGAATTGACAGAAAGCTTTTAAATTTCTCACTTTGTTTGGCGAGCTTTCACTTCTTCCCATTGGATCATTATAATCCTCATCCATTTCCTCTTCTTCCTCTTCTTCTACTTCCTCCTCTTCTTCTTCATTTTTCTCATTATGCTCTGCATTTCCACTACCAGATGTCCCTCCTGTAGCCTGAATAGGTCTTTGTATGTCCTGAAACAATCTCATCAACAATGGAATATGAGATTTGGCAATTTCATGGCACACATTGGTTTCACTAGGAGCCAGTTCGACCACTGTGCTTACTTTAAATTTCGACATGGAAATTCACTTGTAATTTTGTTGCTTTATGTGTATGACATCCTCATAGTAACAAATAGCGTCGAAGAAGTTATGAAGATGAATGTTGAACTCGATAAGGAGTTCGGCATGAAAGATTTGGGAGCTGCCTCTAGAATTCTCAGGATTGACATCCGGAGAGATAGAAAGTAGTCGAGATTATGCTTATCTCAAGAGGCACACCTGAAGAAGATTCTCAACAAGTTTGGTATGTCGAATTTAAAGTCTGTTCTAACACTGGTTAAGCCTCAATACAAGTTGAGTTTGACTCAAAGTCCTAGTACTGAAGTCGAAAGAGTCTATATGAATAGCCTTCTATATGCTAGTATAGTAGGTTCTTTGATGTATGATATGGTCTGTACGAGGCCAAACATAGCATACGGAGTGAGCCTTGTAAGCAGGTATATGGCCAATCTTGGGAAGGCGCACTGGCAAGCATTAAATTAGGTTCTTAGGTGCGTCAATGGGTCTCTGAGCAGAGTCTGATTTATGGTAGAGCCTATGGTGATGATAGAAAAGTCAAAACGAAGGATTTGTCGACTTTGATTATGTAGGTTGTATGGGTTCTAAAAAATCTATTTCTAAATATGTGTTCGTTATGTTTGGCACAACAATTAGTTGGAAAGCAATACTTTAGAAGGTTGTTGTCTTATCAACCACTAAAGCAGAATATATTTCCCTCGCTGAAGTTGTGAAAGAATCATTGTGCCTCGAAGGTTTCTCTAATGAGATGAAACTTCAAGGTCGAGTTATCACTGTTAAATGTGATTGTCAAAGTGAAATATACCTATCGAGAATTCAGCCTAT